GCGCCCCACCCGGACGGTCACATACCCCCCCGAGAGGGCACCCCCTGCGCCCCGAGAGAGGAGCGTGGGCCGCTGGGGGTGGGGGATTTGGCACAGCCTCTAGGGGGCTCCCGGGCTGGGGAGGGTTCAGGGGTGGCCCTGGGGGCACCCGACAGCAGGGGTCTTTCAACCTTGGAGCGCCTTTGGGCAGGGATTAAGTGCTGTCGGGTGATCCGGGCATCTCCTCGCAGCCCGCAGGGATTCCCGCTAACCCTCCCGCTGGAGCGGTGTGCCCAGCCCAGCTGAACCGCGCCTCGCGCGAAAGCCCCTAGGCCAAATGTGAGGGTCATTGCCTGGTTCTTTTCTTTTCGCCTCTTTCTTCTTTTCCTTTTGCTTCCTTCCCTTTTCCTTTCATTGTTTTCCTCTGGTACCTTTCTAGGCCCTGCCCTTTCCCCCACTTCTCTTTCTCCCTGACGTGCAGTTTTCCTTCCCACAGTTCGTTCTTGTGTTCGTCTGTTCTTTGTCTTGGATTTGACTCTCAGAGTGAAGAGAGAGCCTGGGGTATGGGTACACCCGACCGCCGCCTGCCCTGGCTGCATCCCGTGCCGGCTGACGGAGTGTGGGTGGACAGTGCCCCACCACCCCTTCACAATCCAAGGCTGAAGAGTCAAGGGGGCAGGCAGCAGTGGCTGTGTGCAAAGGCCCCATAGCTGAACCCCTTGTTCGCACAAGCATGCTGGAGCTTCTAATTTCCCAAAGTGCCTCTAACAATCTCCAGGGAGTGTTTGCGCCCTAAACGTTTACCTTTAAGTTTGAATATGTATTAGGGTTTGGAACGTTGAAATCTCTCTGGAGAGAAGCATTGGGAGGTGAGATGTGAGGTGTAACCCGCCTCAAAGTTCTGGGAGGAAGTGCAGGGGGAACAAGTGAAAGCAGCTTTTGACAAATTGCCCAGCTCATGGCTCTGCCTAGACCCTCTTGCTGAAGTGTGCCCTGTGGTTTAGCTGGGACCCAGAGGAGAGGGTGAGATGGTTAACTTTTCTTTAAAATCTGCTCTATAACATACCGGGAAGAGATTTTCATAACATTGTATCTAATGGGATTGATTTACAAGTGCAAACCAAGCCATCTGTCCCTTGGGGAAGACTCAGGCCTAGAATTCAAACCAGAGAAAGACCAAACCCATTGCTGTGGCATCAATTTCAACTCAGAGCAACCCTGCAGGACTGTAGAACTCAGGTGTCGCAGTAGTCACCCAAGTTCATGGCTGCTAACCAAAAGATTAGCAGTCAGAACCCACCAGTCACTCTGAGAAAGACCTGAGTCTTCTTCTGTCAAGGGAACAGCTCCCGAAGCCTTCTGCTCCATATCTGTCAGAATCCACCCCACTGTACCACTAACAACAACAGGTGTGGCAGAAACAGAGGTCACATTTTTTTCCTGGTCTGGCAGCCGTGGTGGATTTGAACCCCAGCCCTCTCGGTTAGCAGCTCAGCATTTCACCTCCACACCTGAGGGCCAGGGAGCCCACCAAGCCACTGGCTGGCAAAGGGATCCGGCCATCTTCAAGATGAGAAATGAGAAAAGGGCACACTGTGAAGTTTCCTTTCCCACTGCATAGTGTCGGAGTTCATCCGCCAAACGCTAGTGGCAACATCTGCCGGGGCCAGCGCGGTGAACACATCAGAAGCCAGAAGAACCTGCTTGCACAGCCCTGGTATATATATACACACACACAGACAGCACAGGCCACAAAGAGAAGGGCCATCACATAACCATTTGAATATTGTCTGGCACGTGAGAGAGAACTGTTGGGGCCGAGGAGGAGGGGTAAGAGTCCGTTTTGAGCAGAGAAGGCTCTGGCAGAAAAGGGGCTGGAACTCAGCCACCAGAGCTGCGGCGGCCTGGAAATCGAGGGGTGTGTTCTCCTGGTGACTGTTATCAGTGCTTATGAGATGAGTAAACAGCATGAGTACTAGAGAAAGTGAATCATATTTAAGGAAATCAACGGTATGCTGCCTAACCCTCATCTGTGACAGATAGGAAATGAGACCCGGATTTGCTGGGAGTCCCCATAAACAGACTAGGGGAGCTAGCACGGATGTCGCCAGGCTCCCAATACAAGGCAGTGTCTGATACACCAGATGGTGACAAAGAAAGTGGAGACCCAAGCATCAAATTATTATTGCTACAGCAATATGTATTACTTACAGATTTTGTGGGTCAGGCATCTGGACCTGGGAGTCCATTGCTCAGTCTGCAGACTCCACCTGGATTGCCTCAGGAGAAGCCTGGAAAGTCAGTCTGGAAACGGACTCTCTTTTCCGGTCTCTCCCCCCATCAAGGAGCCCTCGGGTGTAACGGGTTATGCACTGGGATTCGATCCACAAGGTTAGCAGTGGGAAACCACGAGCCGCTTCACTCCCATGAAGACTTACAGTCTCAGAAAGCCTCAGGGCTGTTATACCTTGGCCTATAGGGACATGTGAGTCAGAATCAACCGGATGACAGTGAGATTAGGTTTTTCTGATCATTTGGTGGGGAGAGGAGGCTCTTGGAGTGTGGGAGTGGGTGTGGGTGTGGGTGGGGATCCTTTATTAGGGAAATTCTCTCCCTCTTCTGGATATACAGTGAATATTCCTCTTCTGCTCCACACATGTACGTGATGTGGCATGTAGTCAACTCCTCTTCTATGTCTGTTCCTGGTGGTAGAAAGGGATGACCCTCATTGGCCACACAAGAGGGATCTTTATAGAACACGTGAGCCAGCTACGTGAGTCAACTCCCTGCCGTGGGAGACTGGTGGCCTAAGCGAAGGTGACCTCCTTGGTCTCCCCTCTGTGTGAATAAACCACAGTCCCAGGCACTAGTCCAATCTTCCCCAAATGTTTTAAATTTAAAAATTCACTTGCATAAAGTTTTGGTTTTGTGGGTGACTATGGACTGTCGGATGACAATGCAGCTTCCGTCAGAGTCTCTCACAAGGTCTTGGGCGAGGGCTTTGGTCTTATTTGAAGGCTTGCCTGAGGAGCTACTCCCAAGCTCGTCTAGGTGGTTGGTTGCTGGAGCCATAGAGTTTTAAAGCCAGAAGATACCAGGAAGCAGAGGCAAATCAAGAAATACAAGTAAACGAAGCAATGGCCCTGTATCTGAAACAGAAGAGTATTACATTTACATGTTCTATTAAATACACTAAAATGCTCATAATATATTAATACATATATTAAAATGCTAACAAAGCAATTGTGGTAGTCTGGGTACTTTAAAGAAACAAATCCACAGCAACTCATGTATAAGAGAGAGTTATATATACAGGTTAAGTGCACATCAAGAAAACATCCCAACCCAGTGCTGCCCAAGCCCACAAGTCCAACATTAACCCATATGTCCAACACCAGTCTACAAAGTCCTTCACCTCACAAAACACACACTATGATGCCGACTGCAGGAGGAAAGCCGAGTCAGTGAATGTGTAAGCATCTCAGCACTGGCGGGGGTCTCCACACGGCTGCTCCAGCACCCAGGGCTGCATCGGGGTAGGTCCATGCGGCTTCTCCTCAGGGATGTCTTGCAGGAAGTCAGCTTTACAAGCTGAAGCAGGGAGCTGCTAAGGCAGCTACAACCCGGTCCGACCATCACAAAGCAAGAGACCTGAGAACTAGAAAGGTGAGGCTCACCGATCCATTTATCCCTCTGCCCTTCAATTAATCTCATGTGTGTTTATCGGCCAGGTTGGCACAATAAACTAACTCAGCAACCTCTCCATAATGTTATATAATTACACAAATCAAACCTAAATTTTTCAATGAGTGAGTGCCTGTCACATCTCAATATGTTGGTAGACTCTGTATATTTTAACACCTCTTTTCTCCAGCAAATGATTTGACCTTTTTTTTGAGAGAGAACATGCTAGGAAGTAGAATGTGTGGACCTTTTAAAGCAGTAGACCTTTGTTCAAATTTTTCTCCTGAAGTTTATCAGCACAGTGAACACTGTCAAGTTTAATTAAACTACGTAAACCTGACTTGTGAATGAGAACACTAATACTTGGCATGTTTCACTCATAGGGTCATTTGGCAGATTCCATTAGATAACATTATACATATAGTGTAATCCGTACATTTCCTGGAATTTAGTAATATTGGTTGTCTTCTGCCTGTCCCATATGTCATTTCAAAGCTGAAAATACCAGGACCACATTCCTCGGCATGGAGGAATCCTCCGACCACATTCCAGACAAAATGAATATGAAACATCTGTTTCAATCCTTCCCAGTGATAGGCACTCAGCTATGAGAAACTTCCTCTCCCAGTTGATTGAATCAAACATTCATGCCGTCAACGTCTCCTGTGAACAAAGGCATTCTATCTGCCACAATAAGCCTTTCAAATATGTGAAAACAGCGACAATCTCTCTCCCCTCAGCCTTCTCTTATTCAGTCTCACAGCCAGCTATTTTCACAATCCAGGCCCTTTCTCCTCAC